TGCCGGCTGGCGACCCCAAGGGGGAGGGCCTTCTCTGTGGGAGCTCCCACCCTCTGGAATGAACTGCCCCCAGAGATCAGGGTTATCCCTGATCTCCCTTCCTTTCGCCGCGCCCTCAAGACTTGGTTATTCCAGCTCGCAGGACTGGCCTAGGGTAATTTTTAGAGGGGTTTTAATCAATATTTTAAATTGGACAATTTTCTAATATTCCTTTTAATTAATTTTAAATCTGTATTGTTATTTGTGTATTTTAATTGATTGTCCGCCGCCCTGAGTCCTACGGGAGAAGGGCGGGATATAAATCTAAATAATAAATAAAATAAATAAATAAATAAACTAAAATGGTTTTCCCTTCAGCATACAATTCATAGGCAAACTGTCTACCAGTGGAAGAATTTCAATCATCAGAATTGCTGTAATTCGCTAAGTTAGTGGTAGGAGAGTTGAGTATTATTATTATTATTGTTGCTGTTGTTGTTATTCACACATTCAGCCAGATGTTCAGACTGGGTTTGGCATTTTTGTCTATCTATCGAGTCCTTACCAAGGACCTGGGATAGGCAGATCTGGATGTTTGATGGTGTTACAGATACAGATATCGTCGCAGGATGGAAGCTGTTCTCAGTAAAGCTGCCTTTTGCAATTGACTGATGGCGGATTTGTCAATGCCGATGGTGTTCAAGTGGTGCACCAGTTGTTTTGGGATTGCACCCAGGGCGCCTATAACATTATTATTGTTGATGTTGTTGTTGTAATGGATTGCCCTTACAGTTTCCCCCCAACGTGTGCTCAATGGATGGGAGCCTTTTCCTATTTGAATGGAAGCCAATGTTGCCTATTGAATGTGCGTTCGGTGTTGTAGAATCAGAATCGAAAAATGTACTACTACTACATTCATGTCTGGAGCACTAAAGCGCTTCTGGATTGAAAGGATTGAACAGTGACATCACCATTGCCTGGGGGATGCCCAGTTGGGGGCTCCTTACCTGTCCCCCATTAAGTTGCCCACCAAAGTGGTACCCATTTATCTACTCGCAGCTGCCCATTTTCAAACTGCTGACTCGGCAGTAGCTGGAGTACGTGATGAGAGTTCACCCCATCCCGTGGCAGCAACCAAATGCAAGCCCGCCGATTGTCAGCCCAGCATCCTAACCTTGGGAGTCACCGCCTGCCTTGAAAATGTTAATTTGTGATTTTCTATGCCATCCTTCCTACTGGTACAAAAACAAAAATTCCAGGCGAATGTTTGCCACTTTGATGTCTTCCTAATGAGCTGACACAAGGATGAAAGATGTTGTAAGGGATGTGCATTTCAGAAAGTATGTCATTTGCATAGGTTGTGGCTAGAAAGAGAGAAAAATCCATTGCCAAGGCATTGAACAAATAAACAGGATTCAAGCTCAGGCAATGACAGAGATTTACAAAAATGCCAAAGACAGGTGGCCCTTCTAATTCGCATGAATTTAAGAGGGAGAAGGAGACACATTCTAGACTTGCAAGATTCTGTTACTATAGCCCAGAGGTAGGCAATCTTGGCTCTTTTATGACTCGTGGACTTCAACTCCCAGAATTCCTGAGCCAGCATGGCTCAGCTTGGAAACCTCTCCCTTTCCCCTCAGCATGGCTGGCTCAGGAATTCTGGGAGTTGAAGTCCANGCCTACCCCTGCTATAGCCATTCCAATAACTTTAATTTTAGACCTGGACAGTATTTGTTTCTTGATTGGGTCAACCTTGCAGGGCTATCAGTGACTGACATTAATGGACAGGACTATCATGGCTTATATCAAGTTATATGCTTATGTATGTTGAGACTAGACATCTTTTAATCATCATCTAGCCTAGCCGTCATACAAAGATATTGCGCTACAGACGTTTGGTGGACCCAGACAGCTCTTGCTTCTCTTCAGCTGCAATCTGTTCTATTATTTAGCCCAGTGGTGGCGAACCTATGGCACGTGTGCCAGAGGCGGCACTCGCAGCCCTCTCTGTGGGCACACGTGCCGTTGCCCCAGCCTCCCCTCCCCTCACGACCCCCTCCTCACCAGCAGCCCCCCTGGAGGAGAGTCGCCCCCGAGCGTGGCCCACACGGAGCAGTGCAGCCAAGGACATGGCAGCCAGGCAGCGTAGACAAGACTCTGCCCTCACGCCCCATCATGCACAGTTGATGCTGCGGGGCGCGGGCAGAGGGCGTGGCTGCCATGACGCTGCTGGGCTGCCTGGGCAATCTGCGGCGGGCCCTGGAGGCGGTGAGTGGCCCTGCGGGCAGGTGGGGTGGGGACGGGGCAGGGGTGGGGCAGGGGGTGGAGCGGGGCGGGGCCAGTTTGGGGGCACTCGGTCTCTAAAAGGTTCGCCATCACTGATTTAGCCAATTCACTGTTGAGAAAGCAAGATCATCACTGTCTCCCATCCAGGCTCTCTGGGGGGAAAATCTGTCGCAGGCCGATTCTTGCACTGGTGTTTCTGCCTTGCCACGGTTACCAAGAAATACTTTACATGCAGCTCAAATATTTATGATCAAGATTTTGTTTATATATGCAGTAAGGCTGTCAGGCTACTAAGCACTTTAGTTGATTAAAGACCTTTTTAATTGATTAAACTTTGTATATTACTAAATCTCAGCCTAATTCCTCCTTGAGATATGCACGAATTAATAGTCAAAGGTTCCCGTTCGCTGCTAGAAAGTAAAGCCATTTTTAATATTTTTTTTCATCACAGTAATATGCGAAATGGCACAGGAGAATGAAAAACTAAATATGAAAATGTACTTTGATCTTTCTGATTAAAATTTGCCACACTGACCAAACAATATTTTCATCGAAGCTACCGATTAGAATTTTAACATTAACATTAATTAATATTTGTTCTCGGGCACAACTGATATACAGTCTCATGAATTTATAACCCAGTGCAGTTATTACTGTAATAATCAAAGTCATAATTTCATATTTTTTTTTGCAGAATCTTCTGTCTCTGAGATAACAAGAATTGTGCTCACCCCTTTAAAAAAAGTTGTGTCATAAACATTTAAGTGATCGGCATGAATCCAGATCTGATTGCTATTATGTGAATTACGGTATATTCTACCTCTCTATAACTAGTTAAATTTGCTTGCATTTCAGTCACATATTGGAAGTGAACTATATCAACAACTGTTTTGGTTCTTGCTAAAAAATACTCCATTTTTTACATCTTTAATCTAATTCCTGTTTAAAGTGACACTGGTTCATTGTGGAACCCAGATCCTCTTAGTCTTTTGGAACAGGGCTTTTCAACCAGTGGTACCGGTACCACGTGTGGTACATTGGCACCTGGCAGGTGGTACGTGACCATCCTAGAAAAGTGGCAGCAGGGGAGGGGAATGAGCTGAACCGGTGGCAGCACCGCACAAGCCTGAGCGAGAGATGGCTGGAGCTGCAGGGCTGTCAGGGCTCAGCGGAAGTGCCAGGATCAGTGCCGCTTTCCAGCTGATCGGCGCTTCTTCGGGACTGTCAGGGCTCAGCAGAAGTGCCAGGATCAGTGCCAGGCTCCAGCTGGAGCTCGGCACTGATCCTGGTGCTTCTGCTAAGCCCTAAAGCACCAATCAGCTGGAAAACAGCACTGATCCTGAAATGGTGTAGGGTTCCTGCCTGAGCAGGGGGTTGGACTCGATGGCCTCCAAGGTCCCTTCCAACATCATCATCATCATCATCATCATCATCATCATCATCATCATCATCATTATTATTATTATTATTTCTGCTGAGCCCAGAAGAAGCACCGATCAGCTGGAATGTTGCAGCATCTCCAGGGTCTTGTGATTTACATTAAGATGCTTGGCAACTGATTCATATTTATGACAGTCACAGTGTCCCAGGGTCATGTCAAGTGACCAAAACCTGCTGCAACTATCCAGCAGACGGGGGGGGGGGGGGAAATAAAAACTAAACACCCCCCACCCCACCCCCGCTGCCAATCCTCAACAGAAATGCTCACAACAATGAAAACCTCGGACAGGAGGAAGAATGCCGCTGGGTGGGCAGGCAGGTGTCTTGCTCAGCTGTGGCTTGGGGGGAGCACTTTTTTCAGTGCCATTGTAACTTCGAACAGTCACTAAGCAAACTGTTGTAAGTCGAGGACTACCTGTACTTTATCACTTTTTTGGGGGGGGGGTCATCAAGTTTTTGACACCTTGCTAGGCGACTGGTGGTACTTGGATACAGCCATATCCTAAAAGTGGCACAATGGGTGAAAAGGTTGAAAAGCCCTGTTCTGGAGGGCTGTGAAAATCCTTGCCAGATTGTTAGATGAACCCCATACAGGTATAATTTGTATTGGTTGGTTCTGTCACATGGTGCCTTGGCTATATACAACATCTATATAAATAGTAAACTGCTTAAGATTTAAAACACCTATCTATTTGAAAAGATCATCTAGCACAGGGGGTAAATATTCAGAGACCTACAGAAATGCAGCTTAAATGCAGCAACTTTGAAATGTTTTTGCACGAAAGGCCCACATTTATTTATTTTTGTTTGAAATGACTAACTCAGAATTCTTTTTCCCTCCCTTTGTAAAGCTCTTAAGCCTCTAGTACGGTGTTTCTCAATCTTGCTGACTTGCTGGATTTCAATGAACAGAATTTCCCGCCCGTGCTGGGATCCACACATCTTAAAGTCACCAAGGGTGAGGAACGCACTACTCCGGTGTTAACAGCTTTGTACAGAGGACATGGTAAAAGCCTCTGAATTCTTTCTCTCCCAAGTTGACCCATCACCACCAGGGTCAATCCCAAGCAAAGCAACAGCCGATTCAGCGCCGTTCTTTGTCAAACCTCAATCCCTTTCCGACAGGAATCCCAAAACTTGGCTACGCCATTTTCTCTCTCATCACCCATTAAACCTCTGCTTATCTTTCAAGCCAGAGGAATACATTTGGAGTCTGGATTAACTTGTCCATCAGTGCCCCACAAATTCAAGACCTGCCTTAGACAGCAAAGAAGCTGATTCACTACTCTTAAGGAGATAATTGGGAGGTTAAGTGCAAAAAAAAAAAAAAAAGAAGAGCATGTTATCAGATGAAAATGTGTTTCTAGAGAAGTATTTAAATCTCAGGAACAATTAAATGAGCTCTGAAGTCAAGAATGCCATTAACACAGAGGAGGCATTTAATCCAGGCCTGCAGGTACTCAAGTGTGATGTGGGCCCTCCTACAATAGCTCCATTATTAACAATCGTGTGGCCAGCGTGCTTTATGATACATTCCATATATAAAGCGTATGTAATTTAGGATATATAAGGGAGCTTAGGTGGAAAGGAAGGATGATATCTATCTGAATTCCTATTGCTGTTGGCAGCACTGGATTTAGAAGAAAAAGATGGGAAACTCTTAGTATCTTTCTATAACGGTGAAAGGTTTTAGAGTTGGAGCCAAAGATTTATGCAGAAAACTTATATATAATAATAATAATAATAATAATAATAATAATAATAATAATAATAATAATAATAATAATAATAATAATAATAATAAAGTTGGAAGGGACCTTGGAGGTCATCGAGTCCAACCCCCTGCCCAGGCAGGATCCCTACACCATTTCAGACAAACGGCTGTCCAGTCTCTTCTTAAAAACTTCCAGTGTTGGAGCATTCACCACTTCTGGAGGCAGGTTGTTCCATTGGTTAATTGTTCTAACTGTCAGGAAGTTTCTCCTTAGTTCTAGGTTGCTTCTCTCCTTGATCAGTTTCCACCCATTGCTTCTCGTCCTGCCTTTAGGCGCCTTGGAGAATAGCTTGACTCTCTCTTCTTTGGGGCAGCCCCTGAGATATTGGAACACTGCTATCATGTCCCCCCTCATCCTTCTCTTCGTTAAACTAGACATACCCAATTCCATCAACTGTTCCTTGTATGTTTTAGCCTCCAGTCCCCTAATCATCTTTGTTGCTCTTCTCTGTACTCTTTCTAGAGTCTCAGCATCTTTTTTACATCGTGGTGACCAAAACTGGATGCAGTATTCCAAGTGTGGCCTTACTAAGGCATTGTAAAGTGGTATTAATACTTCATGTGATCTTGATTCTATCCCTCTTTTATAAATATCTAAGTATATAAGATATGTAAGAAAAACGATGGACAATCCACACCCAGAAGTCTGAAAAACAGCACCACACTGCTTACTAGAATTCTCCAGAAACTTCTGTCCAGCTGACAAGTTCCTAAGGGCAGATGAATAAGTTCCAAAGAGTTCAAAAGCATCCATGTACTTTAATGATTTTAGACCAGGGGTCTTCAAACTTGGCCTTTTTATGACTTGTGGACTTCAATTCCCAGAATTCCTCAGCCAGCGTGTCATGTCTGGCTGAGGAATTCTGGGAGTTGAAGTCCACAAGTCATAAAAGGGCCACATTTGAAGACTCCTGTTTTAGACTCTTCAGGAGCTTTCATGAATTACTTGTCTTCCAAATCCGATAACCCGTGACTTCCTATATTAATCTTAGAGGAGAACTTCTGTTATGAAGGTTTGCTTGAAAATACTGCTACTTCAAAAAAAAAAGTGCCTGAAAATCCCACCAAAAAAAATGGCATTACAGACTTTCCTGTTATTACCGAAACACTTCACTTCTGTTCTCCTCATTCCCCATCCAAACCAAGTGGGCATTGCCCTGACTCTTTCTTAATCCCTTCAGTCTTCTTCTACCTGGCAACAGTACAATTGGATTGTCTAGAGCAGGGGTAGGCAACTTTGGCTCTTTTATGACTCGTGGACTTCAACTCCCAGAATTCCTGAGCCAGCCAAGCTGAGGGGAAAGGGAGAGGTTTCCATGCTGAGCCATGCTGGCTCAGGAATTCTGGGAGTTGAAGTCCACGAGTCATAAAAGAGCTAAGGTTGCCTACCCCTGGTCTAGAGCCAGGGTCTCCAACCCTGGCGACTTTAAGACTTGTGGACTTCAACTCCTAGAATTCCTCAGCCAGCATGGCTGGCTGAAGAATTCTGGGAGTTGGAGTCCACAAGTCTTAAAGTCGCCAAGGTTGGAGACCCCTGGCCTAGAGCAAATTATCCTCTTTTTCTTTTTCTTTTTTACAAAATTTTATTTATAATACAACTAAAAAAAAAACATTGGATATAACGTGACATTCCAGTATATACATTCTTATCAAATTATTCCACATTTTACAGTCGGTTCTTCATCTCTGAATATACATCTAAGTTTTATGTACAGTACTTATTCTAAAATAACATATATTTCTATCTTAACGCTAGTCTTTAATCCCAACCGTCCTCCTCGAATCTCTCCAGCGGTAAAATTTATCCCAGGTTTCGAAGTAAACTGATCCACATTTGTCTCTCAAAACCATTGTAAGCCTGTCCATTTCCGCACATGCTAATATTTTATCTAGTGACTCTTCCTCTGTGGGGATTTCTTTGCTCTTCCATTTTTGCGCAAATGCAAGCCTAGCTGCAGTCAAGATGTGTAACAGCAAATAGATTGTCCTCTTTTTCATACCAGCTATTTTATTATTTCTTACTTCATCATATATTCCATACCTCTACTCTGGGCTTGTGGGCTGCTACAAGATCCTTTATCATTCGGACTTCAGATACTGTCACACCACCAACCATGAAGAGGACCAGTGTAGGATGATCACTTGGGTGGGGTCGGCTCACCTAATCAAGAAAGAGAATAAATGTTTATGGAATCTAATCTTTAATCCTCTGGCAATATCTCTCTTTAACTGCCTGCAGGGCGGAGAAAACGAATTAAGGACTCACCACTACCACCAAGTTCCCTCTGTTCAATGTAATCCCTTATTGGTGTAATTACTAGGCATGAGTTTCAGAACAAGGCTATTCTATTAATAGCCCATAATGTTTTACTCTATCTACTTTCCACTTTCATCTATCTGTCATTGCTAATTTTGCAGCCTGAGTCCCCAAGATTGCTGGCCTGATCTAAAGGAGAATGATGCTACTCTGGATGGGTAACTCGCTTGACTGCTTTTTAATTCTGCTCCCGCAGGGTGATGAAAACTAAATAACCAAAGAAAGCAAATGTGGTTTGCTTTTTGGCCTGTTGCTTGCTCGCTTCCTTCTGCGAAAGGTATGATGGTTTTATCCAAAGACTTTCTGATTTTCGTACAGTATAGTACTTCTGCATTACAGAAGTATTACATTGATTTTTTTTAAAAAAAGAACAGCAATATTGTCTCGCTATAAAGATATAGAGCAGTGGTGGCGAACCTATGGCACGCGTGCCAGAGGTGGCACTTGGAGCCCTCTCTGTGGGCACATGTGCCGTTGCCCCAGCCTCGCCTCCCCCCACGACCCCCTCACCAGCAGCCCCCCTGGAGGAGAGTCGCCCCCTAGTGTGGCCCACGCAGAGCGGCGCAGCCAAGAACATGGCAGCCAGGCAGTTTAGACAAGACTCTGCCCTCACACCCCATCATGCACAGTTGATGCTGTGGGGTGCGGGCAGAGGGCGTGGCCGCGGTGGCGCTGCTGGGCTGCCTGGGTGATCTGCGGCGGGCCCTGGAGGCGGTGAGTGGCCCTGCGGGCAGGCGGGGCGTGGCAGGGGCGGGACCAGTTTTTGGGCACTCGGTCTCTAAAAGGTTCGCCATCACTGATATAGAGCAATCTAAGGCTAAATACACCTAATAATCATCTTGTTGCCTATTACTAATAATACTGCCTAATATTATTAATTTTGCTGCTAATATTTCCATGTTTAAATAAATAAAAATGAATAAATTTAAATAAATAAATAGGTTTGAACTTGTAGTTTGGACTGTTTTCTCTCAGATTTCGACAGCTAATGCTAAGCCGATGGAAGCAGAATCAGAATCTTAATAAAGTTATATATAAAAAATATGTACCAGAACTAAAGTGGGTTCAGAGAACAATTATGCTAGAACCGGCTGCGGGAAACTAGCTCAGGTATAGATTTGTTGCAGGTTCCTGAAAAGATCATAATCAGCAACTGCTCTCATTTCTAAAGTGGGAATAACTGTGACCTATTTACAATGTTTATTAAAAGATGATACTGTGCTAAAACACACACATTAAAATCCAATACAGACCTACAGTATATGCCCTTCAGTGTATTGATTTTAAAGGGCTTAACAGTAAATGTCTGTACAAAAGGGTGACACAGAAGAGAAAAATATAATTACAAAGTGGGTTTTTTTGGTTAACAGATTGTTGGTATTTTAAGAATGTGCCAATTAACCCATTTCATACAGGAGATTGTTCAGCCTTTCCGGGTCAAGGAAAAAAAAAATTCTCTTCAAAGCTTCCCACTATCTCAAGATTCAGAAAAAAGCCAAAATGATAAAAAAAGATCTATCTTTGCCTTTGCCGCAAAATTGGGCTCATTTGAAGTGTCATAATTTCTTACATATTTATTTTGAGGATAAATACCTATATTTTATGCCAAGGTAATGATTTAATAGCTAAACAGCTTATGTAATGATGTAATGTAATATAAGGTGGATGATGCAATGATAGGAATGACTCAGCAGGGTCTGTATCCCTTTAAGAGCCTGAGTATAAAAGGGAAGGCTTTTGCTGGAGTGTTTCTCTCTCTTCTGTTTCCTGCTGTAACTGCTATGTGTTGGATCCTACTGTATTAACACATGTATGTGTATTGTTCCTGATGTATGATATTGTAGATAGTGTAATATAAACCACCATTTAATATAGACCACTGTTTACTGTGTTTACTCCTGGGTTATCTCAGCACAATAAGACTCTGACATTTTATAATCTCTCAGTCACCCCCTCAGAATGATATATTTGAGATCTCTTTGACATTGAAGTATCGGTTTGATGTTGACATCCATTTCTTTCTTATCCCTTATCTATTCTTTCATTCTGCCTCTCAGTCAGAAGATTATGAATAATTAGGCATTTGAACAATACACTGTATGAACAGATAACATATCGTTTATTTCTCTTGAAAGAAATCAATCAACAACGTTCTTCCTTCCCCGTTTAATCATAAAACGATTGCCAAAAGGGCTTATACGCAGCTACTAGAGATGGCTGCAAATATCCACAGGACCACCAATAGGGAGAGATACCAAACACCTATAACCTTGTACTAGCATATGATGATCATTTGGGGGTATGGCCAAATTATTTGGTAGTCCCAGGTTATATTCTTTTCTTTTTACTCTGAACAATATTCTACTACTCTGAACAATATTCTACTACTTCTCTAGTCTCTTAATTGCCTGCTCCCACACATTCTCTTAGCTTCCTGGACTCCTTCCTCATAAGGAAATGGCCAGTTAATCCTTGATTTGCATTCTAAGCAAACAACCAATTTGTTTCATCACATCCTCATGCTTGCATCTAGGATACTGCTGGAGACCTAATGCACACATAACCTAATGCACACATTCCAAAGCACCAGAAGGCAAGACAAGAAACAACGATGGAAACTAATCAAGGGGAGAAGCAACCTGGAATTAAGCAGAAACTTCCTAACAGTGAGAATAATTAACCAGTGGAACAGCTTGTCTCCAGAAATTGTGGGTGCTTCATCACTGGAGGTTTTTAAGAAGAGACTGGACAGTTACTTGTTTGAAATGGTATAGGGTCTCCTGCTTGAGCAGCGGGTTGGACTAGAAGACCTCCAAGGTTCCTTCCAGCTCTATTCTGATTGATTGATAAATATTCAGTTTCCATGGCTGTCACCCTAAACACTTCCTCATGGCCAATTGCTTCCCTAATGTCTTGTGGTTATTTCTCAGAGAATTAGTAACAACAGCTAAAATTCTCAGAGGATATTATTCTCTTAAACTACATGCTTACTATATGCTTAGCACATGGAATTTGACAACTGGGCAGCATAAATGGATTCTCCGTGCTATGACCAAAAAGACTGATATTGCAGAATTGGAAAGATACCTCCATGGCTCCTTTCTCTCAATGGATCTAAGACCTGATTGGACATGACAACTATGTGTAGATTGTCTATAGAAGGTATGTCAAACTTGCGACGTCACGTGACGTCGCGCTATGTATCGGAGCTTTTTCGCCATTGCCGGCAATGGGGTGGGCGCGGCTCCAGTATGATGAAACCGGCCCGCGGGCCGGCAGTTTAACACCCCCGGTCTATAGACATAGACTTTGTATGGATGAGTGGAATGAAATATGAGATTCATTTATACATAATATAAATTACGTTTAAAAGGATAAAAATATATTAGAAACATACATAATTGACTATGTTTGCGTTGGACAAGTATATACACAGTAGAATTGTAACTGTTTATTGTTTTAATGGCAGATCATCTGGGTTTTTGTCGTATTTTTTTATTTGTTAGAGCACTTTTTGTTTTTTCTTCTTTTTGACAACGTATTTATCACTATCGCTTTTATGTTTTGTGTTTTTTTCCCTTCTTTTTGTTATTGATTAAAAAGCAATTAAAGATAAATGAAAATGCACTGAAGTTACTTTGTGTTTGAAGAATCCCTAAGATAATACATCTTTTTTTGGACTACGTTCCAATTTGGTCTGCACTAGAAAATGCAATGTTGTAAGAGGGTTACATCAACCGAGTTGACCACCTGATGGGTTTTACTTATTAGTCTGAGTGGAGAAGAGGACAGATGTGTCCTACAGAAAGAGCAGGGGAGATAAGATAAAACTGCACTCCTCTCTCCTCTTTGAAGAGATTCTCTCTTTCTGTGTGTTTGTGTTTGTGTGTATGTGTGCACATGCTCAAGTGCTCTTGAGTCAGTGTTGACCTCTGGTGACTGCTTGGACAAGTCCCTGCAGTTTTCTTGGCAAGCGTCTTCAGAAGTGTTTGTCTTTGCTTCCTTCATAGGGTTGAATGATAGTGACTGTCACCCAACTAATTTGGTGCCGAAGGCAGGATTACAACTCAAGTCTAGCCTGGTGCCCTTAACCACTACATCCTGCTGCCATTCAAGTTCTACCTTACATATTGAAAACTCCAAGTCCTATCCCAAATCTGCACTGGGGTTTGTCTTACAGATAAAAAGGCCTTTAATGTTTCTTATAATGATGTCCAAAGGTGTCTTTATCTGGAACAGCAGAATTCAGAGGAAAACAATGTGCTTTATTTGTCATGTTTTACAAATAATAGTATAGTCAAGGCCATGGTTTTCCCAGTTGCAATGCATGGCTGTGAAAGTTGGACCATAAGAAAGGCTGAGCGCCAAAGAATAGAGGCCTTTGAACTGTGGTGCTGGAGAAGACTCCTGCGAGTCCCCTGGACTGCAAGGCGATCAAACCGGTCAGTCCTAGAGGAGATCAACCCTGACTTCTTTAGAAGGCCAGATCCTGAAGTTGAAACTCAAGTACTTTGGCCACCTAATGAGAAGGAAGGACTGGAGAAGAGCCTAATGCTGGGAAAGATTGAGGGCAATAGAAGAAGGGGACGACAGAGAATGAGGTGGCTGGATGGAGTCACTGAAGCAGTAGGCGTGAGCTTAAATGGACTCCAGAAGATGGTAGAGGACAGGAAGGCCTGGAGGAACGTTGTCCATGGGGTGGCGATGGGTCGGACACGACTTCGCAACTAACAACAACAACACAAATAATAACAGAGCACAACATAATGGTTGAACTAGGGAAATCAAATTACTATTTAGTTTGACTTTTGTAGGGTTTCATTGACAATCTGACTACTACAGAT